AAATGAAAACTTTCCTCCGAGGTTTGTATACTATTTTATTTGCAAGTACGCCATTAAATATGATTAGTCAATCAATTTTTTTAATATTAAAAAAATAAAACAAACATGCCAAAATGTGTCATATTCACTGCTTTGACGTTTTTACCTGACATGTTCTCATTGTTGCTAGCAAAGGTAAATAAATTAGAGTGAGGGAAATCGGTGAGGGAAGTCGAATAGGGAAATCGGTAAGGGAAATCGAAGAGGGAAGTGACACAGGTAAAGTGTCACTTCCAAATTTTTAAAAAGTCAGTAATGACAAGATTACATATATGATTGCAAATAATAGTACATTATATACCTAGGTAGAGAAGTTGGTCATTATATACCGAGCGCTTTTATAAACCGAGACGCGTAGCGCCGAGGTTTATAATGCGTAAGGTATATAATGACTTTCTCTACCGTGGAATATATAGAATTTTTTTTACTACTGCTATAGTAGAAAATAAAAAATAAGTTTGAAATCTGAGCTCAAATTATTTTTTCTAGTTGAAAGTGCTGCCCTCTATCAACATCTATGATAATTTCCTATGATACATACAGGAACCTGTTTTTTTGATTAAATTGACAGTTTGAAATCGAAATTAAATCAATAGAAACCTGTAACGTTATGACAATATCCTTGCGTCATGCCGTCATTTTCATTATTGACCTAGGTTTTTTTTCATTATTTTCATTATTAACCTAGGGAGAGAAATGCAATTTTTTCCGAGGAAAATAGATTGAATAATGACTACTTCTCAGGTTAGTAGTAAAAAAAGATATTCCACACTCTTCGCATTTGAACATTGTTACTTCACACGCATATTCAATAATCACTTTATCATTAAGTCCATGAACTTCACGTCGATGTCGATTATAATTACTTTGAGAGTCGAAAATACTTTTTTCTACTGACGTTTCATAATAGCAACTTTTCGATTGTCATTTTAGTTTTGAAACGACATTTTTTTAAGCACTCAGTGCGTAAAAGTGACTTTTAGGCACTCAGTGCGTAAAAGTGACTTTCAAGTGCGTAAAAGTAACTTTTAAGCACTAGTGCCTAAGAGTGTCATTCATTGTTCAGAAATAAAAAACACACTAAACACAGATTTGAATTTTGTTTTGTATTTATTATGAATATTAGTCACCACTATGAAAGGTGTCAAGCAAAAGCAGGTGACAAACATTGAGATAAAATTTTGTTTTTTTATTATGAAACGCCAGTAGAAAAAATCTTGTATACAATACGTTACGAAACGATGTCTTTTAGTCACTCGACGTGTTGTCCAACTCAACTTTGCCTCGTTGGACAATTTTCACGTCGCGTGCCTAAAAGACGCTCATTTCGCAACTTATTGTATAAATAGGAAATAGTATTCATTCGTATTCGTGCTCTCAAAAAAAATTAGAAACAAATCGTATTCAAATCAAAAATACAAGCAATAAGCGAGCTACTGAATACAATATATTCACTACCTTTGTTTATTTGCACCAAAGAGATCAATGAAAAAGACAGACTGACTCCTGGGGTGGGCGGCACGCGCCTAGCATCGAAATCAATTTGGCAACGTTGGATCGCAGTCCTATGACAAGCGTCTGCGGATCACACGGAGGCAACGCCACGAATATGGTCGAAAGTGTACGAACGAAACTTTTAAAATTTGGCGCGACGCAACAAACGGCGGTTCACTAGGATTTTTCTTTACTGTCTCTTGATTTATTTGACACAAAATTATTATAGTTATTTACCTAACAAATGCGGAAAGTGATACTTTACCGCACGCAACGGCAGTTGACCGAACGACGCGAAGCGGAGTTCGGTCAAGCCGTTAAGGGCGGTAAAGGCACTTTCCGCATGTGTTAGGTACAAAATTTTACCTATGAGCATCTACATCTCCAAAAAAAGACATTTATAAAATTAATTAATGAATCAGATTAATTAATGAAATTAGATAAGATTTAGAAATGATCAAAAATCCATTTTCTGAAAAAGAGAGGATTTTTGATTATAAATATCAAATTCTACTTTACCGCACACTTTGATTTCACTTTACCGCATACTATGCGGTAAAGTGATACTTTCCTTTTGCAAATACGTGCGGTAAAGTTCACTTTACCGCACGCTCGTAGGTAAACACATTAAATTTACATTACGTAGGTATTACGGTTACATAAACAGGCTTTATTGAATATTGAGTCGCTCGCAAGCTCGCTCGGTCATAAAATTATTCGTACTATAAAGCCTTTCTTTATTGTACCTACTATTGTTATTTAATGCTATTTATATAAATAGCTATTATTCAACAATCTAGATTAAACACTGTGTCTTGCCAAATCTTACAGAAACAGCTTGGTTGTGATACAGCCTACAATCAACTGTGAAGGGCGAAGGGCCATGTATCATTGGATTGTTCCACCTGACTTATCAATTATTTTCGCTTGATACCCCATCCCGAAAAAATTAATTCTCATTAGTCTTTCTAAAATTTTTAGGTACATATTATCGATATTTTACGAAATGGAAATTGCAAAATAATCCTAGAATATAACAATAATATTCATCAGGATTCAGGACAAGGAGGCGGAGGCGTCAAACAACAAGCAGCAAAAACGTTATGGGCGCTGTATTCGTGGCGTTGCCTCCGTGTGATCCGCAGACGCTTGTAGTCCTATGTTTAGCCGCCAGTCAAGAAATGAAGAGAGACCAGTTCGCGCTCTTTCGGAATGAACGAACCAACAACAAAATAAAATACCCAATTAAAACATTGTCATTCTATTTATTTTTGGACATTTTTACTGTGAAGAACAATTAAGAATAAAGTGCTTTCCTAAAATTGTTTTTGTGCAAAGTGTGTGACAATAAAATCCACATGGTTTGCAATGAAAATGTGACGGTAAACTTGGTATCGGTTATAAGAGATGGCGCCGTATGCGGGCTTAGTGAGTTTTTTTCATAAATAAGTAAATAGCTATTTATACAATAAGTTGCGAAATGAGTGTCTTTTAGGCACGCGACGTGAAAATTGTCCAACGAGGCAAAGCCGAGTTGGACAACACGTCGAGTGACTAAAAGATTTCGTTTCGTAACGTATTGTATACAAGATTTTTTCTACTGACGTTTCATAATAAAAAAACACAATTTTATTTCAATGTTTGTCGCCTGCTTTTGCTTGACACCTTTCATGTTGGTGACTAATATTCATAATAAATACAAAACAAAATTCAAATTTGCATTTAGTGTGTTTTTTATTTCTGAACAATGAATAACACTTTTAGGCACTAGTGCTTAAAAGTTACTTTTACGCACTTGAAAGTCGCTTTTACGCATTTGAAAGTCACTTTTACGCACTGGAAAGTCACTTTTACGCACTGAGTGCCTAAAAGTCACTTTTACGCACTGAGTGCTCAAAAGAATGTCATTGCAAAACTAAAATGACAATCCAAAAGTTGCTATTATGAAACGTCAGTAGAAAAAGAGATTTTTTTTGTTTGTTTTTTTTTTTTGGATTTTTTCGATTTATTATCGTAGGATGGACAAAGACAAATCCAATAAAGCAAAAATCATAAAAATCAGTCCAGCCGTTCTCGAGTTATAAGTGCTCAACACCAACACAACTGTGTTTTATATATATAGATTATGCAATGATCATGTAATGATAGCCATTAATACACAAGCATGTTGTAGGATACGAGCCGCAGGCGAGTTTCGTATATAATATGCGAGTGTATTAATGGCCATTTCATGAGAGTTGCATGCTCTTTTTTTTTCTAATTGCATTAATAAACGAAAATAGTATATTATATACCTAGGTATATAATGACTTTCTCTACCGAGGAATATATAGAATTTTTTTTACTACTGCTAGTAAAAAATAAAAAAATTGTTTAAAATCTGTGTTCTAATTATTTTTTGTGAACGCCCTCTTGAAAGTGCTGCCCTCTATTAACAGCTTATATAACTTCCTATGTACCTACAGAAACCTGTATTTTTTTTCAAATTGACGTATGAAATTGAAATTGAACCAATAGAAATATGACAATATCCTTGCGTCATGACGTCACTTTCATTATTGACCTAGGTATTTTTTCATTATTTTCATTATTAACCTAGGGAGAGAAATTCAATTTTTTCCTAGAAAAATAGATTAAATAATGACTATTTCTCAGGTTAGTAGCATATTTATTTTATAAGACCAGTAAACTTCTCAACTGGTGACAATAATTGTTGACAACTTGATAATTTCAAAAATTAAGATCTAGACACACGATTTATTAATTTTTTGTTGTTTCTTCTGGTAAATACTAATAGGAACAATCCAAAATTTCAAAGCAAGTCTGTTATTTTAATATAAACATTGTTCTTGTTCAAAATAGGTACTGGATTCCAGTGTATTATAATGAAAATCTGTATCATAATGAAGTTCATTATGAAACAGATTTTAGGCGTATTATGAAGTCAGTAGAAAAATTTGTTGATTTTTTCAAATTAAAATATTAGAGGTTTGAAAAATGAGTATTAATTAGGGTCAGTTTGAAATTCATTTTCAAAAATGTGAAATCAAATTTCGTTTGTGAGAAATTAGTTTTCGTTATTTTGAAATCAATTTTCAATTGAGCGAAATCAGATTTCACTGATGTGAATTTAGTTTTCATTAATTTGAAATCAGATTTCACTAGTGTGAAATAATACTGGAAATGGTATAGTTGTGTTATGAGTTTCATGACATAACTTAAATACTAGAAAAAGTACTAAAACGAGTCTTAAAGCAACTGGCAATCTTGGCAAACTGAGTTGCTCACCAGTAATATTTAAAATAATAATAATCAATTCCGGCAGTAATTTGCTCTGTTCATAAAAAAGTCGAACATTTTGCAATTGGAGTCATTACCTACAGAAACTTAAAGAATTCAATAGAAACTAAATTTTCTACTTAAAAAAATACACTGTAAATAGTAAATATCCAATATAAGATACTTACATGACCCAGAAAAAAAACCGACATACATGTTACCAACGAGAGGCAATATGGGATACCAAAAACCGTTTTTCACTTGCCAAGAAAACTTAAGATACCTCCAGTTGCGATAAACAAAATGCAGATAAAATACACACGTACAAAAACCAATTAGAAACAAAGAAATAATCATGTTTGGTTGAAAAAAAACTAATCTGCTGAAAGCTAACAAATGACTGTTGCTATCAAATTCGAAGCTATACGAAAATATATTTATGTATTTACCTCGCATCATTAGAGATATTTTAAAGTCTTTTAATTTTATTGGATTTTGTCCTTCAATTAATTTTAAGCAAGTATCATTCATTAAGCATTGGTTCAAGTTATTCAGCCTTAATTGAGTTTTGAATTTAGTTTATTTAATAAATATGTTAGCAAACAGGAAAATCGAAATTACCTAACCTAACCGAAAACACCTAACTAACCGAAATTACCTAACTAACCGAAAACACCTAACGTGTGTTAAAGGATAGCCGAGCCCTGCTGTCATCGAGCCCTGCTGTCACGGCAAAAAGTAAAAGTCAATAGCTGGCCGTACCGATTATTGCTTAGCAACTTTGTTTTATTTACGGGCTATTGTTTTGTAGTAAAAAAAATAGTATTATTATCTGTGCAATAAAGTTAATAAAGTTATTATCAGAAGTGGGATCGACTCTTGTCCATTGGATTGCTCGTCGGAAGTTCAAAAGTGATTTTTCCCCCAGACGGGTCCGAAAAATAAAAAGAAAAAAATGGCAGAAGAAGACGAAATCGTTAGTGATTGGGAAAACAGTGATTTTGAGCAGACAAAAACTCTGCCATTTGGTAAAAAGCGTCCTAGGGTTCAGTGGCAGGAAACACTCGTCAACTTAGTGGCCAACCAGCAGAAACAAATTGCTTTATTAACAAGTCAAACAAAGAGCGTGGCGTCACCGTTGCAGCCAACGCCTAGTGACCTAGTGACTCAGGAATGGAGACCTCGAGTTCACAAGTGCCTTCTTTTGAGATCACGAGCTACGACCCTGATAAAAGTTCTTACCCAATCAATGAATGGCTTGAAGATTGTTCAAAATTAAAGAAAGAACTCAAAGTCAGCGATATTTTAATGATCAGCAAAGCTGGCAATGCTTTGAAGCATCGGGGATACCATTATTATCGTGATTGGAGGCCCCTTTCAAGGACATGGGACAATTTCTGCAATGATCTTATTGTTGCATTTCCTGATCGTGAAACCCCTGGCACCCGTGCACATATCGCTGCAACCCTAAGTAGCCGAGACTGTGAATCATTGTCTGATTATGGTAACCAAAAACTACGTTCAATTAACAGGTTTTATAATCAGCTACCATGGAATATTATTCTTAGCATGGTTGAGTATGGATTGGAACACACCGAAGCCCGTTCCGCAATCCGTGTGCAAAAGCCAACATCCGAACGTGACTTATTAGTATTGCTCAGCGAGTTTGATGCCCGCCGTGCAAGATCGCTCAAGAATAGCGCCGAAAAACGAGGGGAACGAAGGATAAAAGAAAGATACGATCCAAAGGTCGTGCGTTTTGAACCATCGACTAGTAAATGCTTCAAATGCGGCCGGCTTGGACACCATCAAAGCAAATGCCGATTGGTCCAGAATCAGAAAAGTGCAGAGCCCATTGAATCATTTCTTAAGAGTGCGTCAACCCCTACCAACGACAAGGCAAATGTTCCTGTGTGTGATTTCTGTAAGAAAATGGGTCACACTGACGTCAACTGTTGGCTGAAGCATGGGAAGCCTAAAAAAGCGTTGTTGATGAGGAAATGACGCCATCTGTCAACAACACCGATAGCCTCCGTTTTATGCGAAGAAAAAGCGCTTTCATTCACGTATCTCATCGACACAGGTGCTGAGCGGTCAATTATAAAACATTCCGTAGTTCTTGCCCTGGACGGTAAAATAAAACCAAATCGTGACGTATGTGCTTTCGTAGGATTCGGAAACCAAATCATTTATCCAGTCGGTGTTTGTGAGTTGATATTTGTTTTGTCTACAATAACATTAGAGATTACCTTTGCCGTGGTACCAAATAAAGTGATTCCGGGCGAGTTGGACATTATTATTGGCTGGGACATTATAAGTCGGCCTTTTGTGCAGATAGTGAAAGACAGTACCGGACTTGAGTTACAATATCAACTGTGCCCGATTCAAAAAGTTCTCGTTGGACAGTGTGCACCTGAAATTAAAGTTAATCTACCTAATTTAGGTACTGACTTAAAGTTGTATGTAGAAAAGCTGTTGGTGAAATATAGGGCTAAAACGCCTGATCATATTTTAACTGGAAAAATGACAATCACTTTGAAAGACAGTACTCCAGTGGTATATCGTCCTCGCCGATTAGCATACCAGGAGCGGATTCAAGTCGCGAATATTATAAGTGAACTTTTAAAGGACAAAATAATTCGCGAAAGTCACTCAGAATATGGGAGCCCTATAGTGTTGGTAACGAAAAAAAATGGCCAACCGAGAATGTGCGTGGATTATCGTGATCTAAACAAAAAAGTGGTTAAGGAAAGATATCCCTTGCCACTTATACAGGACCAACTTAATGCCTTATGCCATGCAAGATACTTCACAACCTTAGATATGAGATCCGGCTTCCACCAAATGGAAATTGATGAGTCTTCCAGGCATATTACAGCTTTTGTAACGCCAGATGGACTATACGAGTGGAACAGAGTGCCATTTGGTTACGTTAATTCACCAAGTACTTATCAACGAGCTATTGACAAGGCATTAGGAAATCTAAAAGGCAAAAAGGCTTTTGTTTACTTAGATGATGTATTGGTGCCATCGTCTACTATTTCAGAGGGACTGCAAAACTTGGAAGAAGTGCTAGATGCTCTAGCTACCTCAGGGTTTTCTTTGAATTATGACAAGTGTGTTTTCTTTGCCCAAGAGACAGAATATTTGGGAGTGAAACTGAGTCAAGGAAGAGTACGTCCGAGTACACGAAAAGTCCATGCATTAACACAAACCATTGCCCCTATAAATGTGAAAGGTGTCCGGCAATTTTTGGGGTTGGCAGGATATTTTCGCCGCTTCATCAAGGGTTTTTCTCAAGTGACAGCACCAATAACATCCTTGTTAAAAAAAGATCAGCCGTTCAAATGGACACCTGAATGTGAGTCAGCAAGGCAATTCCTCATCAAGAAGCTAACTGATTCACCTGTGTTGCGTCTATATGACCCTGAGTTGCACTGTGAACTCCATACTGATGCCAGTTCTATAGGCCTAGGAGGTGCTCTGTTCCAAAAGGAGAATGGCATTCTACAGCCAGTTGCATATTACAGCAGACGCACTACCGCCTGTGAAGCCCGCTATCATTCATATGATCTAGAAACACTGGCAATTGTCGAAGCAGTAGAACATTTCCGAGTTTACCTGTATGGAAAACATTTTACAGTGTTCACTGATTGCAATTCGGTGCGAGCCACCGCCTTAAAGAAGAATTTACACCCTCGTGTCGCGCGGTGGTGGGTGAAACTCCAAGACTATGACTTTTCCATAGAGTACCGCCCTGGACATAAAATGCAACACATAGACTATTTAAGCCGAAATCCAGTGGATGATGATTCAAACGAGTTAAAAGTGTTGGCATTAAAGACGATAAACATAAACAAAATTGCCAATAAGGATACACTTCGAGAGTTTCAGCAAAGTGATACTTTTTGTAAACAAATATTTGATAATCCGGACTGTGACCCTGACCTTACTGTTGAGAAGAACATGATCGTAACCAAAACAAAACCTCAAAAATATTTTGTGCCCGTTGCAGCGCGATTGCTTACTATGACTCTATACCACGATGAGTCGTCACATCTCGGATGGGACAAGTGTATTCAGAAAATACGTGAAGATTTATATTGGCCGAAAATGGGTAAATGCCTTAAAAAGTACATCAACCATTGTAGAGCTTGCACATTGGGAAAATCACATACAGGACCCCGACGTGGATTTTGCCAACAAGGAAAAAAACCAGATGCTATCTTAGAAACCTGGCATATAGATCATGCTGGCCCGTTGGTGAACTCCAATGGATGCACGCAAATCCTTGTCATGATTGATGCCTTTTCAAAACTATGTAGACTCCAGCCAATTTCGGGGAAAACATCTGAATGCTCTATTCAGGCGCTGTTGCCGGTTTTTGAAGAATTGGGCAGGCCCAAACGGATAGTGGCGGATAGGGCCGCTGCTTTTACTTCCACTATATTTCAAAACTTCATGAGTGAACAGAAAGTTGAATTACATCATATTGCAACTGGTGTACCCAGAGGCAATGCCCAGGTAGAACGCCTTATGCGAACCATGTTTAATCTGTTGCGAGCTACTCTGACTCACGAAAAAGAAATTGATTGGACGATTGCCCTACCAGCCATCGAGGACAATTTGAATGTTACGGTTCACTCGGTAACTGGCTACTCACCTGCTGTGTTGCATTTTGGCACAAACCCAAGGTTAGCAGCAACCCGGAAATTCTTAGGCGAACCACCAAATGATTCGTTGGTTGATCCAGAAGAAGCCATCGCAATAGCACAACAACGTGTGAAAAAAATTGGTGACCGTCAAGCTCAACGATTTAATGAAACCCGGCGTCGGGCCACCTTGTTTAAGCCAGGTGATGTCGTAGCCATTGAAGATTCACAATTCGCTGGCGGAGGAAAACTGAAGCCAAGATACAAGGGTCCTTACACTATTCAAAAGATCTTACCTCATCAAAGATATCAACTACACAAAAAGGGACAACGAACGACGGTAGCCGCACATGACCAATTAAGGCCATGGTCATCGCAGTAATTATAAAAAGGTGAGTAGCAATCCTACATTACCTATTAAGTTCCTAAGTACCTATTCAAAACTAATTGTGTTTTGGTGGCGATCCCATCAATATCTGAAAAGCTTACTTTAATACTCCATTCTCCATATTTAGTGTAAAGGTGGCAATCCCACCAAAAGTACTTGAAATAATAATTAGTGGCAATCCCACTAAACTTTAGAAGATGGTTGGCAATCCCACCAAAAATACTTGACATAATATTTAGTGGCGATCCCACTAGTCCATCGAAAAAAATGGTGGCAATCCCACCAAAAACGATAATATTTAGTGGCAATCCCACTGG